AAAAAAAAAAAAAAAGACAATTAGATAGATTCACATTTGATTAGACTTATTTAGTAGTTGGCATATGCAGAAGTGCCAAAAATGATGAGCTAAGTGCATTTTTGGATTATCTGTGTGACGGCTTTCCATTAGCACAAGTAAACAGCAGTAAATTATTTACCCACTGACATCCCTGGGTTATTTGCAGCCAGGGAGGTGTGGCCCAAAGGCAGGTAATGCAAAAACACATGGTTTTTGGTCTTGTATTGTATTCTTACAATTACATTAGAATATATACACTGAACATTCTGATAGTTCACAGTACCTTAATGGCTTGCTACAATACATCTGTAGCAAATATTTAAGAAAATATTTTTAAATATTTTCCCTGGACTGTTCGTCCCATGAAACTGATCCTCAAAAAGGCTTCTTGTGAAGGCTAGAGATGGAGTTTAGCGGTAGAATATTTGCCTAGCATGCATGAGGCCCTGGATTCACTTTAATAGAAATACAATGATATAGTTGGATTACAAGAATATGTTGAGACCCACCATAAAAACAATCTTCCAGCATCTTAGAAGCATACATCGGCCTATAAGCAATTGTCACACTAATTGCAAAACTGCTTCTGCCAATTTGATAGAGACCGTGGAAGATAATACTTAATTTTCATAACAATATTTCATAGAGCTCTTGACATGTCAACATTACAGAGTAAAATTTCCATACAATTCTCTTGGGAAGACTGAGCATATTCACTAAATAGATACTTGGAGGTATCTACTACGTGCCTTGGACAAGGCTGAGCTAGATTTGCAAAGAAGGGTTAAAATATAGTTTTTTTGCCTTCAACGCAGCAAAGGCTGTGTCCGTGACTCTGCAGCAGGGCTACTCCACCAGCACGGCTGAAGGAGATTGATGTAGATTTGTCTTTTTTAGCATCTTAGTGAAAATATTTCACAGTAGAAGCAGACTGGAACCCTTGAGATTTATTTTACACACCTTAGTTATATTGGTAAGGAAACATTTAATTTGAAGTTCTCTTTAATCTTCTGCAGAATTAAAGTTTTAGGAAGCAATGATTCAGAAGTCTGTCCTTTAAAAAAATGAGGGAAAAAAGATTTCAAGTCCACAAAGGGCAACTCTATGTAAATAAAATAGCTTTGTAATTATTTTTTTTTACATTTTTTTATTTTAAAGAGGAAACCTAATAAAACAACAATAAAGACAAAAACAAAAACAACAAAAACAATACCTGACCTCAGAACAAAATGATAGGATATGGTTGCTACATTACATACTGTTCTCTCCAACAAAGTTGCTCAGTCCACCAGATGTAAGAATGTAAGATTGATCAAACAATCAGAGACAATTGTAATTATTTTTAAAAACTTTTAATTGCTTAAATAAATGGGGCATAGTAGTGCACCCCTGTAATCCCAGCACTTGGGAGACTGAGGCAGGAGGATTATTGTGTTTATTATTATAGCCTAAGCTATAAAGTGAGCTCAAGGCCAGCCTGAACTGCATAGGCAAGACCCTGACTCAAAAAGACCAAAAAAAAAAAAGAAAAAAATTACTTGAATAATTGCTGCAGTCTTCATAATATATTGATGATTTTAAAATGGCAACTGATTTAGATCTGATAAGTATGTTTTATATTAAATAATTGATCTGCTAATACAAGTGTTGTGTTTGAATCTATTTGAATGGCTATTTAAAAATAGTCTGTTTGAGGTGATATGCCATGTA